AATTTGTTTCCTACTTTGTACTTTCAGCTTTATTTCCAGCATTCATTTCTACAGTTCAAAAACTTTATTGTGTTGGATTCAGCTTGTTCAAATGTTAATCTACTATTATGAACAAGTGCTCACTCCTCGGCCCTTTAAATGATGATTTAACATTTTGGTGTTTTTAGTGTATATATGTTACATATCAACTCAAGCAAGCCTAAATCAAGTTCTTTATAGAGTTTTAGAGGCAATGACGTCTAGGATCCTATTTAGTATTTCTAAAAATGTGTGGAAGTTGAGCCTTATTCAAATTTGTAACCCCCTACTCTCATTGGATATAGGCTACTTTCAGCCTTCTTTCTTGATTTCCATTTCAAGAAAAGATATACAATTCTGAAATAAAATATCTTATAAATATGAACAGCCCCTCCCCAATATTATCTAGTATTTTGTATTGATTCCATGAAACTTAGGCCTGCTGCAGGCACCTTCATCTGCCAAAACAAGCTCTACCTGGAAATATAAATGGAAGGTAAATGTTTTTCTAGAAAAGAGTCTAAATTTGAGCTTCCCTGTCTCCTTTAGCCTATATCCTTTCTTGCTTGCAGAATTGTCACAGTTCAAGTGTGTCTTCAGCACAGACTTAGCCTGCTAGGTGGCTATAGGCCTAGGACTCAACCCAATTTTTCAAGGGCAATGATGAAATAGCATATTTGTGTTTAAAAAATAGCTTTGGCTACTCGTGGTTGATAATTTCCCCTGATCAGAATTAAAATAGGCTCTTTTTAAAACTTGGGCTCATGACAGTTTTATTGCAGACCTCCATGCATCCCCCTGTTGTTTACAAGAAATGAATTATTTGGACCTCATCTTTTTCTCTCCTCTTTTTATTTGGAAAAAGAGAGACTTTATTAAACAGGAGTCACCTGACAATTTACAACCTCCACGCACTGAGCTGAGTGAGTGAAAGAGAGGAAGTTGGATAGACAAGACTGGGTGTAAATAGTCTGCTCATCCAAAGCCCTGCTTTGTCCTTTTGAATCTGAACCAACATTACATTTTAGGTAAACACTAGATAGATAATAAGCTCTTTCGTAGGAGAGGTAGATCTTTGCAAGAGGTAGACTATGACTCAAGGCAGGCAATGCTTATTGGTTGTAAGTTATAGGAGCTACAATGGATTCTTCCACTTTCAACGTAAAATAGGAGTCTGGTATCTGAGACCACTAGGACAGCATCCAGGGGTGCAAAGAAGTGGGTGGAGACTTGAGGGGGTTCATCTTTAGGAGTGGAAGCATGCTTGGGCTCATCCCCTCTTTGAACTCTAACACTCCTCTTGCACACCTCACCTTGACCTTTCCATTACCCTTCCCCATGGATGGCGGAAGAGAAGAGGAAATAAACAAAAATCAAGAGGAAGGGGAATGAAACATTTGAAGAGATATGTACAGGGACAACAAAACAAAGGCACAGACAAACAGACAAAAATGAGACTGCAAAATATTATTATTAGACACACTTTGTTGTTAATGTTATATAACACTTTCATTCACGTGAACAGTACTCTTTTTCCAAAGACACACTCCCTGAAGATTTTTTTTTTTCAAGAGTGGTCAGTTTGATTATTACATGACTCTATTATCTAAAACTTTGTGAAACTTCTGTAATGCTCTTTAAAAAAATGCTTTAAAAAAATTGTATTCATGTACCCAAGTAGCTAGAAAGCTTTCTGCATTAATATCATCTTTTTGTTTGACACTTCTTGTACATGTAGAGTTTTGCTGTTTAAAGTTTGATTGCTGCTTTACCGTGGTCTCATGTGACAGTCAAACACATGCTCTCTGGAAACATGTAATCCTGTCACATACTGCTCTTAAACCTTCTCTGAGAATTGATCTGTGTGTCATGTGACCTGAGTTTCCTTTCTAATCCATCATATCTTGTTTCTCTTAGGAGTTCTTTCCTCTCACCTGTCCGTAAGAAGACTTGCCTCATTTAATCATGGATTTACTTCCAATTATGGTGATGATTCATTTGAAGATGGTTCACAAATAAGCCATACCAAATCTATCATCTTCACCTGGAGTTAAATGATAACTTGATAAGGGAATGTGTCGATGTCTTTCTTAGAAAACTTCTTAGATCACTAAATCATTCTGTTACAGGAATGTTTGACCCAGAAACCTGTAGGTCATTATGGTCATTATGTAACATATTTTCTGCAAGAAGCTTTATTATTGGTTTCCTTTGTGGAGGTTAGTTTTATCAAGTGTTGGAAACGTTGTATAGTTGAATTATTCATTTAGAGTAACCATCTCCCTTTGATGTGAATATTACAAGTATCTTGTATCAGCCTCTTCAGCTGTCTTTTAGGAGGTGTCATGGTATAGTGGTTCATTCACTTGACTCTCAGTCTAAGGGACTGTGGATTCAAATCTTAGCCTGTCACTAACGTCCTTTGGCAAGACAATTGTCACCATTACCCAAGTGTAAATGAATACCCAACAGTTGCTCAGGCAGTAATAATTGCAGGGCCCTGAGGAAGAACAGCATTGATGCTGATCAGGCTTCCCCGGGCATACAGCATTTAGTATTATTGTTATTATTGTCATTGTCCTTCCATCAGTCTTAGTCATTGTCCTTCCATCAGTCTTAGTCATTGTCATTTCATCAGTCTATGTCATTGTCATTGTCATTTTACCAGATTTCCTCACCTCACTATCTTGAGTAAGTCATTTCCATCTTGTTACCTGTGCCTCAAAATAAGATGTGAATTTCTGCAAGTAATGGGAAGTTTATTTCCACTATCTAAAGATCTCATTCTTGCTCTTAGTTGTAGCTTGTGTTTTGTAGAAGGATCCTTGTGTCTTGAGGAGGCCTTGAGGAAGTAGCTACACAGAGATGAGATCTCTGTCTGTGAAGTAGGCTTTAGATCCTTCAGGAAACTTGAGGTGAAGGAAACCTGTGAAGTTGATCGACATTGGAAATCAACTATTTCCCAAGACACTTCTCTTAGGATATAGATGGATTGATACAGCATGACAAAGCTGAATTGTTTTCAAGTGTTTTATACTATCACCTGTTTCTTGTGGGAAATCAACTTTTCTTGTCTCCTCACAAGACTTGTTCACATAGACCAGGTATTAGCCTTGTTACATGTTACAGTACATAATGAGCAGAACTTGATGGAAGTGGGAACAGCTTTCACAATTTTTGACCACAAAGAGATTTGACAGTGACTGATACAAGATGATGTAAAGCAAACTATTTTAGGAAACCCACACATTAAAAGAGATTGGAAGTCTTTCATTAAGTATGTGTCTCACATTATATAAAGCAGTCTGGGGATTTTGAAAAGTTATTTATATCATAATAAAATAAGCAAAAGTGCAGTTAAACAGTTCAAGATGTCAGTCATTTATATTAAATGAATTATGTTTTTATTTAAGAAATCATGTTGTTTAAATTTCAATTTAAACTGTTTAACTGTTCAGTGGCATGCCATTCTTTCAACTATATATCATCTTTAATCATAGATTTGATCTCTTTCATCAGTATGAGTTCTAAAAGATTATGTTAGAGTATTTTTATTTTTAGTGGATCTTCAAGGAACCTATTGGATTGATTCATTTACTTGTTGTTTGGAACAAGGCAGATAGACAGTTCTAAATAAAGATAAACAAGGCTGAAGACTAGAAATAATGTAGAATTCATAAAAACAAAATGTTCTTGAGTACAACTTCTGTTACAAATTTGATTGAAATAATAAGTTATATAGAGATAATATGGGAGAGCAAGGGAGGGAGGTTGGGTAGAGGAGTAGAGATGAGAGGGGAGGAGAGAGAGAGAAAAGGGGGGGGGTGAGAGGGAGAGAGAGAGAGAGAGAGAGAGAATGGAGCATGCAGGGAGAGAGAGCAGACTCCTTCCATCTTCACTCTACAATGCAGTGCCCTGTAGATGGCGCTGTTTCAGTTCTCATTCCCACCCTCAAAGTGCACACACCTTTTTCAGGAAACTGAGTCAGTTGAATAATAGTCTGTGAATATTTGTTTAATCTATTTCTTTCTCCTGTATCCCTCCCATCTGTTTCCTGTAATGATTCACTTGGCTGTCATCGATAACATTGACATTTCTCTATTCCATGGTGCATTCATAATGCATGATATTGAAGTACTTTCTCTCACAACATGAGTGTCATACTGTACTGGACCCAGCCTATTCATACTCTATATGTCTATGAGTGATATACCTTGCCTGTCTAGAGCCAAAAGGGCATTCACTCTAGTCTATGTTAAAGTATTTTAACCCATTGCGTACTGGACATGGGTGGTCCCTGTATTAACTCCATGAGAATGAGACAGTCCAGTAGTCATCGTGTTTCTTCATACTCGCCATGTATGTAGACTCTCAGTCTCACAGAACATGAGGCACATCTGTATGTTTGTATTAGGCCTAATAAAAAAACAAAACATGTTTAGCGTCCGTTTTTTTCTTTATTCTTCTTTCAAAATGGCCGCTCAAAATGTGGCCGCTCGGTACATTTTCCCTGACATTCTGGCTATTTTTCAAGATGGCCGCCGACAATTTTTTAAAAATGTTTTAAATCAGAAATAGATCCATTTTAGCAGTATTATTCATGTTTTTTTTCCTTTAAAAAAAAAAAGGAGGCTGCCCCCAAAAAGGAAGTGGGCGGGGCGCTAAACATGTATATATTTTTTAATGGCCTTAGCTGCATGACTGTGCTATACCCCTGTATTGCATAGTCATGTGGCAACTGGCATGAAGCATGAAATACATGTATAATCTCTCTCTAGCTGGCCCAAAGCTGGGTGTGCTTTTAATTCTTGTATATTTGGGTTAAATATCCCCAAATTGTTCAGTTAGCCTCAAACATAAGCCCATTGGCATTGTTTAGCACAACTACATGTTTGTGAAAGAAGCAAGTCACTGCTTGCATTTGAAAGTTTCAAAGATTTTACCAAATGTGCATTTTTGTTTTCTTTTCTTTCCCAACACAGTTCCTGAAAACAGCGAGATGATGGGCAATGCTCATGCGATGTATGAACGCAAGATGGGTATCTTTTGATGAAGAGTGTATCAACACAAGATGGATCACTTTAGATGGGATGGTAGCAGGACCTGGCTATCAGGCAGTTTCTGTATTTAATGTTTATTTGTAAATGACACGTACATGTAGATTGTAGCACCCATGTGAACATGAATGTAAGTCTATAGGATTTCAAGATTCTTTAAAGATACTTAGGCAGATTAAAAATATCCCACATTGTATTTAATAACATTACTTTGATTCAGTAATGTTTCCCTTTTATAAACCAGGTTATATGTTCTGTTGACAAGGTTGTTAATTTTTGTATGCACTATAAAGATCTTTACTCTGGATCACACATTCTAACGATAAGTGTCACCTACTGATACTAGAATGAACATGTGAAGACGTCCCATACATTGTAGTGTAGTTACAGTTTATAAAAAGCTTTGATGGACGATCCTTTGGAAATTCCAGAGACATAAAAATCCATCTGGTTTGAGGAGTTTTTTAACATCATTTGACTTTTAGGCTCTCCTCCAACACATTCAGTGAAGCCTAATGGAAAGTCTCAGCACAACATATCCCTGAGGGGCATAGATTGATTTTCCGGTCTAGGTTTCATCTAACTATGGTGCTTCTTACCCAATAGAAATAGCAAAATGGTGAAGTAGTTTTTAATAAACTTACAAATTAAATACTTGTTTGCAGATGCCAATACCATTGTGTTTATGTTCTACCTGTTGAGTATCCTACTAAGACCCTTGACTAATTTAGCAAGGTGTTTTCTAGTCGTCTATCAAGGAGGAATGAGTCGTTATACACACCCTTTCCTTTTGCTAAAAGTGCATATCTATGCGGTTTTGATGCATATCTAAGCATTGTCCATCTGTAATGAATGTGGAACAATAAATAGGTTTTTTTTTTTTAATAAAGATAGGAAACATCATCCCTTGTCATGTAGAAAGATCCCTTGTTCTCATGTAAAAAACCAGGTACATTATGCATTTTAAGCATGTTAACAACATTGACCTTTCTAGACAGGTTTCCATAAAATAGAATATGTTGAACACATTATTTTAATTTTGTTCACCATTCTAAAGATGTTGAAAGCTAACCCTGCTGAGTCACGTATACAGCAAAGTCTCAGCTTTCTCAATTGCATCAAGAGAGGGGGTACTTCCACTTTTTGAGTCTGGTTAGATGCTTTGTGTATGGGTCATTTTTGTTCATTTTATTTCAATGAGAAGTAAAATGTATTGCTTTGTGTTTTAAATGTGAATGAAATTCCATAGGTGTTCTGTCAACCTATTTCTTTTTTCATTTCACACATTGTAAATAACTTAATAAATCATTAAAGATGAAAATGTTTGTGTTTTTGTCAAGTTGTGTCATAAATCTTGGGATAGAAACTTGAGAAAGGACATGATGATAATTTGCACTATGAGAGAGAGAGAGAGGGGGGGGGGGAGAGAGAGAGAGGGGGGGGGAGGGGGTTCATAGCAAAGATTGGTAAAGAGAGGACAAATGAAAAGAGTTTGGAATATGAGAGAGGGGGGAGGGGGGGGGTCATAGCAAAGATTGAAAGAGAGGACAAATGAAAAGAGTTTGGAATATGAGAGAGAGGGGGGGGGGGGGGTCATAGCAAAGATTGGTAAAGAGAGGACAATGAAAAGAGTTTGGAATATGAGAGGAGGGGGGGGTCATAGCAAAGATTGGTAAAGAGAGGACAAATGAAAAGAGTTTGGAATATGAGAGAGAGGGGGGGGGGGGGTCATAGCAAAGATTGGTAAAGAGAGGACAAATGAAAGAGTTTGGAATATGAGAGAGAGGGGGGGGGGTCATAGCAAAGATTGTAAAGAGAGGACAAATGAAAAGAGTTTGGAATATGAGAGAGAGGGGGGGGGTCATAGCAAAGATTGGTAAAGAGAGGACAAATGAAAAGAGTTTGGAATATGAGAGAGGGGGGGGGGGTCATAGCAAGATTGGTAAAGAGAGGACAAATGAAAAGAGTTTGGAATATGAGAGAGGGGGGGGGGTCATAGCAAAGATTGGTAAAGAGAGGACAAATGAAAAGAGTTTGGAATATGAGAGAGGGGGGGGGAGGGGGTTCATAGCAAAGATTGGTAAAGAGAGGACAAATGAAAGGATTTGTAATATGAGAGAGGATGGAAAAAGGGGAAGGGATCATAGCAAGATTGGTAAAGAGAGGACAAATGAAAAGAAGGGTTTGCAATATGAGACAAAATAGAGAGAAAGAGAGAGATAAGGAGAGAGGATGTGGAGGAGAGCGATGGTGAGATGTAAAAGGAAGTGATAGTACAAATTAGTATAGAGAAGACAAATGAGGAAACATGGAAAGGGTTTAGGATGTCAGTTCGAGAGGAGGAGGGGTAGATATCAAAGGGCGAGACAAAGATTAATGTATAAGAGACAGAAAGAAGGGGAAAAGAAATGTGAGAAGGAATACGGAATAGTCGTATATTTGCAAGGGACGAGGTATGATGAATGCACTAAATGTGGAAAGAAAAATTAAGCACACATGACATCAAAGCTCTTCCCAGCAAACGCAATATTATAGTATAGCTTATGAAGTACCCCTTACATTTTTTTCTACAAAACACAATCATTTTCAATTCTTAGTAAAATACCAGTCGACAAAACGCGAATTCAATTGTTGTTGTTATGTGTCAATTGGTCTAATAGTCTCTAATTTGTTAAGGGGTGGATCGTACCCCCCCCCCCTAAAATTTGAAAAAGTGCCCCCAAAATATGTATAGCAAATACTGACCAGAGACTGCAACAAACTTTTAGGCTCTGGGGGCCCAAGAGTGCAGCGTTTAGACAAATAAAAATGGAAAAATCTTCTCACTCGGTATAGCTACGCTCCCTCGCATAATATCCTTCAAAATGTACAAGTAAATACTGAGAAAATCGAAGTGTGAAAAAAGTATATTGCTTCTTTTTATACTATAGTTTGCTAGGGAATGTAATTTTTAATACAACAAAACTTCAAAAACCTGTCGGGGGTAGTGACTTCCTTCACCTTCACCCCTCTCATTCACTATGCTCCCTCACACTTGCGTACTGATGGGGGGGGGGGGGGGGGCTTTGGGGGAAATTCATCCCAAATGATATTCAAACGTGGTTTATTTCTAATTCGATACCAGTGGTTTACAAATGTTGTTGTTACAAAAGCTTCCGGAGGTTCAGCCCCTGGACCCCACCAAGGGCTCTAAGACGGGCCCCTGGTTGCTCATCTGACCGTAATTAAATGCCTAAAACGCTTGAGCTTCCAGGGGCTCTGCCACATGGACCCAACCAAGGGCTGGTCCTAAGGCGGCCCCTGGATGCTCATCTGATCGTAATTTAATGCCTTAAACCCCTGAGCTCTTGGGGGCTCCCCCCTGGACCCCACTCCAATAAGTGACCTGTATGCCAGTGTCACAAATAAGGCATCAAAATATGCTCATCTGACCGTAATTAAATGCCTAAAGCCCCTGAGCTTCCGGGAGCTCCGCCCCAGGATGCTCATCTATATAACCTTATTTTCTAAAACCCCTGAGCTTCATGAGGCTCCGCCCCTAGACACCGGCTGGGGCTTTGCCACTGGACCCCACGCTAATTTACGCTCCACTTTGCTTCAACTTGCTCTACCTGATCGTAAATATTTTAGCCCCCCCCCCCCTCCACTTTGAAAAACGTTCCCAGGGCCTGCGTAACATGTTAAAGTGGTGGTGATGCGGATTTTTTTTTCTGCCCCCCCCCCCCAAAAAAAAAAAAAAAAAAAAAAACGTTGTTGCTCATTACGCCACACTGCTCCCTGGCCCCTCGTATTTTCCCTGCCCTCCCCCCCCCCCGGTCATGAAAAGAAATCGCCGCCCCTGACCAGCAGTAATAGCAACAAGCAAAGCAACAACAACTACAACTAAAACAAAAAAAAAAATCTCGATCAAATCAAGTGCACGCCAAGCCAAACATGAACCGGTATAAAGAATCATTTGGCTTGAGAGCGTCCACAGAAGTGGACGAAAGCTTTAATGGTAAATTTTAAGGTTGGTAGAAGCTCAAATTCAATGGATCTCAAGATCAGAAAGGGAAAAAACTACTGAGACGTGGAAATAAATAAATATGTTGCCAGCATTCACTGAAAGACAAGATCACTTTTCAAAAATATTGTTGTTGTAAAAGTATTTTTTAATGTGATTTACCAAGTTACTGATCTTTGAGTTAAAAAAAAAGAGAAAATACCAAAGTGCAGTATATATAAAGAGACAGAAAGGGAGACACAGAGTATGTAGCGCCCGTTCGAAAAAAAAAATGTTCCCCTTCTGCTAATTTTCCCCTTTTTGATATGAAAATCATGATGCCTGGCACACACTTACTTATACCCTTTTTATCCAATTCATGACAATGGCATTGACATTCCCCAGAGATAGCTACAGCATACGAGACCGATAGTCCTGAACATGTTTTGGATAAACTTCTGTGAAAGCAATACAAGTTTGATTAAAAAAAAATCATCAAATCATAATTTGATATTAATTGGACTTACCGAAAATCGGAATATTCTAGAATACACTACCTGTTTGTAAAAGTTGAACGTCTCCCATGAACGTAACAACTCGGTGGTTTTAGAAGTGCGTACATATCCACAGCGACTTCCAAAAATTGAAAATATTCACATTGCACAATAATTCATTGCACATCGGGACTTAATCTTGATATTCAGTTATAGGGTAAATCTTTACATGCAATGTGTGAGCAGTACAAAAAAAAAATACTTGGCTGCTCCTATAAACGGTTGTTGTTGTGTGCGGTTTATATATGTAAAAACAAATGAATCATTTCAACTGATGTAATTTTTTGAAAATTTATTTAAATCATCAATTTGCACCATGTCAATTATGATTCGGTACCTTGTTAGGTGTATTAATATACAGCTAGGAAGGGAAAAACAATTATTGAAGTTTGGAGTTTGAATTTGTAACCAAATCACTAACATGTACATTCATTTATAGTTCAATTTAAAATACATATTATATTATTTGGTATTTGGAGCTAACAAAATAAATGGGGGGGGGGGGAGGGAGAAGGCTCCGAGAAGGCTAAACTACATGTTTTGTTGACCAATTTGAAAATTTATGAAATCTGATATAGACACGTAGGCCTACTATGACGTTTTGCATGTTTTGCTGCATATTTTTAAAGCGTTTTGTAAAAAAATACTTTGCATTGTTCCTATTGACCACTAAAAGATCTAAGTAAAACGTTGTTGAAATCTTTACACGGCCTATAGGTAATTATTTGACCATTACATATGATAATTCACTTTCATAACATGGCCGCATTAGATGTGGCTTTTGGCCAATTATTGGTGACTCCACGTATCTTTATGGGGAAATTCGGATGGTGGTGTGACCATACCAGTTCGCTATCTCAAAAAAAATGGTAAGATTTCGAAAATGTAATATCATCAATGGAAAGAGGACATAAAATTACCCAGGGACGGATTTTTAATATCTGGATTGGTGTGAAAGTATGAAAATATTGACAAAAGATATAGGCACATTTTGCAATTATTTGCGTCCGTTTCGAAAAATTATGAATTTGCAAATAAGGTCGGGAAATCATCATTTTGAGAGCAGATATCCTCAAAATTGTAAGTAAGAAGTGGTACCAACTGATTGTATGATATCTTGCCTTGCGAATTATGAAATTAACTTATTTTGATGGATCGCATTTTTTAATAATCGGCTATAAACGCCCGTGCGCGAAGTAAGGTCTCGTCATTTTTATGACTTTTTTTAGTTGCACCGCGCACTTTTTGTTGTTTTCGTAGGTTTTTATTAATTTCTCTCATAAAGAAAATTTTACATTATTTATAACATTTATACAAAATTACAGATAAAATTCAACTTTGCAAGCGAACAATAAAGTTAAAAATATTTTTCATATAAATATATTTGCAGATGAAGTTACACATACAGAAGAAGAATATTCACATTAACAAAATTATACTTTCACATTTTAAACAAATAACACATACATTTTTTAACAATTTCCTCGTCCAGCTTGCATATAGATTTCCAATTGTCTTTTCCACAATGATTTTTCAAACTTTCCTACAAAGAGAGAAAAAAGGGTTGTGATAAAAGACCGATCCGACATCGAATTTTTAGATCGCGATATCTCCGGCGAAATCCTTTGTCTTTGACAATACATTTTCTAGTTGAAACAATTTTAGTAAAAAACTTTGCCGTCCACTGGTAAAAATTGAAATTAATACATTTGTGTAAAATATGAGAAATCATGATCGATATCACATTTTCTAATATTTTCAAAATCTCCGAGAACTTTGATCACCCTTCATACATGATTACAGCTTTATATTTCTCCAGTTTGAATATAATTTATGTAACAACGTACAGCACATACAAAATGTGGCCCAATTTGTGTCGCTGACTCATTCACTCCACAATGTAAGGCTATGCTCAAATGAAGAACAAGATATCACGAGCCCTTGGGGGGGGGGGGGGGGAGCGTGAGCTATTAAAAAGTTGGACTCAAAATCGAAGAACCTGGTGCAAGGGGGGGGGGGTGGTGGGGATGATGGGCACCGGCAACCAACCACTTTATCTTCGCCAATGTGAGGAGTCTACGTTTCCTTTTATACTACTAATACGTGTATAACACTTATATCGTAATTAAATTTAACTCACAATCAGCATTGAAACTTGTATTACTCTCATAATCATTCATAACACGTAGGCTATACAGTGCTAGGCTTCAAAATCCCGCCTCTCTACACTCGTCTAAACTTTCCTATATAACTTCAAGCGCGGAATAAACATACGCATGCGCAGTGGTGTCAATAGTGTGAAGATGGCGACCCGCATGAGAAGGGCAACCCATACGGATAGTTTTGCTGTTAAATATCGGGAAATGGAATAAGGTGATATTTTAGTTATGGCGGAACGTAGAAGGATTATACCAGCTTCGGTTGGACCACTTTTTAAGGATCTGAGAGAGAACATAACTAAGCCTGCACTGCGACTTGTGCTCGACCTGGGAGAAACAACAGAAGAGCTATGTTCAGAATTTGCCTACCCTGTCCTGGTTAAAAATGCTGTGGTACGTACGCAAATCTCACAACCCTCTATCACCTTTTACTATTCCTATGTCATGAATTCCGCAGAACAAAATCTGTTCTAAACGTTCTTGCTACTTTTCTTCAAATTTTACTGTATTTTCACACTTTTTCCACACTTTTAACAAGCTCATACTATCCGATATGAATTATACTATTCCGTATGTGACAAGACATGTGAAAACCGGCTTGGGATATGTCTGTAAAATGGTGAGGTCTTTTGTTGTGTTCTTGCAATGCCTCAATCTAAAACGTGAACCTTTACTACATGGTTTTGTGTAGCTCAGAATAAACGGGAATGAAAGACAATTATCCAAGAACTAGCCGCCATCTTTTCCTATGGCTTTGCCAACCCGAAAACTAGACGAAGGGCGGGGCGAAATAACATGAAATGAACTTGAAAACTCGACACAAATAAAGATTGACAAATGATATGATTTTACTGAATTACGAGGTGCGCACCGCTCGTATCTTCGGACCACGGCGCATTGTAGATTTTATACGTTTTGTACTAAATGGGTAAGAGATGTATAAATGATATTAAATTTTTGACTTTGACAAGGTTTTGTATGTTTGAATAAATCAAGTAAATGTCACGTAGAGATGTGCTGGAAATTTGATTGGTGAGTGAGTTGTGGATGCTGCAGCTCTGTTGAGGGTCAAATAGAGTGCATGCCTTGCCTGTGCTGGAAAAAGATCGTGGGACGTGTGTGCTAGTGTTATATTGATGATGTGTTCGATTATAGTATATTTCTGTTGCACATCGTGTTGAAAGAAGAAATTTCTGTGCAAAATTATTTTGATAGAATGAAGAGAATCTCTTGTGGAGCGTGCATATCATTAACGAGCTGATTTGCATGAAGTCACAGACGGTGTCCGTGTGTGTATTCTGTGTGTATGCGTTGTGTGCATGTGGTTGGTGTGTGTATAGTTGGGTTAGTGTTGGTGAATGAATTGGACTTCGGAGGGGTAGTTGAGCGGGGCTTTGCCCATCGGGGTGTTTCGTTGTGGATGTCGAGCGGGAAATGGTGTTTGTGGAGTTGGGTTCGTTCGGGGATAATAAAGAGGAACTGGTTTCGTAGGATCGGGTTTATTTTTCGATGCGGTAATGAGCGGTGTGTATTTATTGACGGATTGATTGAATGGGAAATGTTTCGCATCGTTCGCGCGTGTGTGGGCGCTGGGTCCGCGGGGGTCAGGTTCGGTCATGCAAAGCGTTCTGTCGCGGTGCAGTGGCAGTGCGCTGAAAACTTGAATGAAGGATCGTTCGGTCCATGTTTTGGTGTGTTTCTGGGTTTTTAAACTCGCTTTTACTTTGAAAACGTTGCTCTTTATTTAGATAGAAAGAAGCTGTTTGTAGATAAATATGACCTGGTTGCGAAAGTAGAAGCGAATAAAGAATGAATGGGTGATACTGATCTGACTTTGGATTTACTTGGATCTATCGTACCGAACTAACAAAACCTGATTCATTTTTGTTATTCTTCTAAATTGATGAAGGGAAACTAAACATCTTTTTCTTTCCAATCCAATATTTAAGAAGTTAAAAGGTAATTGAAAATTGGCTTGAACCATCATTATCTATATTTTTTGGTGTAGACCTCTACATGTATTTATTCTTAATTTAAGAGTTTTGAACTTGAAGTCTTGAAGATATCAATGATTTGACAAATGGGTGAAAATGTTATCTAATAAAAGTTTTGTATTATTATGACGTCTTTGAAAGAGAGTTTGCATACATTTGTAATTGTTTTACTCCTAAATTGACCTACAGTACTTGTATCTATGGCCCGAATTCACAAAGCAGGTTTGAGCTCAGACCAAGGTTTGACCTCAAACCTTTTGTTTCGCCAAACCTCCTTTTATTTACAAACCTGGTTTGTAATAACAAGGGAGTTTGGCGAAACAAAAGGAGGTTGAGGTCAACTTGGTCTGAGCTCAAACCTTGCTTTGTGAATTCGGGCCTATGTGTTTGTAGATTGCAATATTCTATTATATTTTCATACTTCTTGCAACCAGATACCTTTACAAAGTCTCTCGATATCCATAATTCATCAAGCTAGTACACCCCTGTGATATTTATCATGTGAATTAACTTTCATTCCATTTTTAACATCAAGAAGCAAAAAAAAAAAAAAAAATCAATATGTGAATGAATACACGTATGTGTATTGTTCTTTGATACAATTTATTATTATTTTCTTTGTCCAATGATAGTAATTATTCTTCTTCTTATTATTATTATATTATTATTATTATTATTATTTTAATCATTACTTCATATAGTCTAGGCATTAATCTATTATTATAATTATCATTTATCATCATCACCATCATTGTATTATTATTTTAATTTTTGGTCCAATGATAGTGATTAATATTCTTCTTCTTCATCTTATTAATATTATTAGAAATATTGTAATAATAAATATTCTTCTTCTTCTTCATCTTATTAATATTATTAGTATATTGTAATCATTAATTTATATAGATATTAATATTAATATTATAATTATTATCATTATCATCATCACCATAATTGTATCATTATTTTTAATTCTTGGAATACTGCATATGATAACGAGTTAACAAGTACATGTACTTGTCAATGCATAATATATTTCACTTTATAACTATTTATTTTGATCTACAGGGAGAAGAAGCTCAAGAGTCCAAGATCTTCAATGATATTATGAAGAGGATTTGCAAGGATTAGAAGCCATAGCAAAGAAATTTGAAGAAAAGTATAATGTGAGTATCATGATTTATCTCCATTTACATCGCACTGAGGAAGAAAAAAATAGATGTTCCGATTTTTAAAATTTTTAAATATGGTTATTTTTAATAAAAAAATTAAGGGATTAATAAGTGTATCATACTATCATTCATAACATGATAATCATATTAATGTTCCTGTATACATGTTTTCTGTTTATAGAAAACATGTTTTTGTTAATTTGTTTTCAAGAATTTTCATGGAATGCCTTTGAAAAAAGGAGTTTTTTTTTTCATGCTTTTTTTTTTAATTAATGGGAAAAAAAGATTAAATGTGACCCATTAAGAAATTGAGTGATTAAATTTTTCTGAAGATTCCAATCCAAGATTATTCTTGTTTACATGTCTTATATTTGATTGTCTTCCAACATATTTATATTTCTTGCATTATATTTCAATCAAAGCCTTTTTTAAGCCCTATGGCCATGTACTGGGTCTGTATCTGGAGTTTTATTTTATGTGGTAGATCTGTCAGGTAGAATTGAAAGTCTGATTGAAAACAGCGAATTTATTCAGCTGTAATAATTGTAGGCGCAGCAGGAAGAACTTTCATACAGTCGTTGTCATATAAATTTAACCATAAAAGGAATATTGGCACTGCCACAACAAATCATAGAGAATATCAGAGTTGATGAAATTAATACTTGAGATTTATTAATAGTTGGGCAAGCCATCTATCTCTCAGCTTTCACACAACTTACAAGCTACGTACACTGTACATACATGTACATGTATAAAGTGTCACACATGAATTATTCATGAGGAAACTGATGCAATTACTTCATTCAAGTGATCCTTCACGCTCTGACAACCAAGATGCATGGATATGTTGCACAGGTTTAGCACTTGTACACCTACAATGTACATGTACACGTAGGCCTACACAGTATCTGTATTACTATGCACTGTATGCTGCAGTATAAGCAGTTATTTTTTCGCTGGGTTTTTATTTTCGTGAATTTTGTGAATCACTCATTGATCGCTAATCTAACAATAAGCAAAACTATTTCCAGCGAGTAATTTTGCAAGTTAGAATCACAAAAGTAAGCCTCGTTGCAAATCACACACCACGTCTTTACTCTAGATATAGCACAAGCAGTCACCAGGTCATGCAGCAGTCCGAGACCACACAGATCATAGTGGGGCACTTCAATAGATTATTTTCATTTATTACTCCTGAAATAGTTCTTATATTATAATGACTGTGATACTTAGTACCGGTAGTGAGTTCTTGATCCACGGAAAGGGAATGATGATTATGGAAAAGTAGTGGTTGTGTCTTTACGCTGATTTGTTCTTGAGCCCTTGATCATCGATAATATATTTACGTGTAAATATTGGCTTTACAGTAATGTGTACATTAATTTAATCCCACAATATTATCTTCTGGTAGACCTACTTGTATACTTTGTATTGTACGTATACACTGTACATGTAGGCTTTCAAGTTTTAAGTGTCAAATAAGGGCTGCCAGTAGTACGCAGTACTGGTACAGTACATGGAAACTGATTAACTGAGCTTGCTCAAAATTATGACTAATTTACCTACTATAAATTCATTGGATTCGGAAGTTCAGTCCATTTTCAGAAACTCGTAAACCACATTTGTTATTTATATATTTACAGATTTATAGAATTGTGTTCATACATACACTGTACATAAAGATTGTTGTTCTTGAAAATTGAACTCATCATGCAAAACAAAGAGGGTTATTCGTTCATGACATGTATGTCTCTCCTTCCTACATAAGCACAGTATTCTTGTGTATGTTACTGTGTTTAAATATTTTTACATTTTCTTTAAATTACATGAGCAAGTTTTTGAGCAAGGTGTTGAAATGTTTAGTTTTGATTCAATTCCCTTTTTTATTTTATAGAAACCTGGTAAGAAGGGAAAGAAGAAGAAGATGATTTTAGAGGATCTGATAGACGCTGGAATGGGTTATGATGTAGATGATCCGTTTGTGGATAACTCAGAATGTGTAAGTATATATTAACATGTAGACGTAGATACTTGCGAACCCTTCCAAATAATCTGATTTTCTGGATTTTTAGGACCTGAAAATTCTGAATATATTCTGACTTTTCATTTTTTTTTTTTTTGGTGTGTGTGCTAATGTAAAGCCGAATTAAGCTTGTTTTATCATCTGCCATGATTTTAGAGTTCACATATTGAATGGCTGCATGATCGAGCAACGAATTTGTATGCGCTTTTTGGTACAGATTTACCGCGTATTGCCAGTAACACTGCTGCTGCAAGTGCAATTTCTTATTTTTAAAGGCATACCGTGCTAAAAATTCCTACTTCTTTTTTTCAAATGTTGGCAGGTATGGACATAGCCAGTGGGATTAATCTTTACCTTTGTATAAAACTGTACTTGAATGTAAATAAACTTGATGTACATGTAACTGTGCAACAGAATAGAAGCATCTGAAATGTACTTCATGAAATTGTCTGTATTTTGTATAATGACTATATGTTATTGATTATTAAATAAATATGCTGTTGGCATCTGTTATTTGTATTCAAATACGTACATGTATTGGTGGGAATTGGAATTCTGCACATTTTGAAGATTATGATTGTTGATTATTTTTCTTCTTAGTTCAAAGTTAAAATACATGTAGTATTTGTTGGTGATAACTTGATACACAGTACATGTACATGTGAACACTCATGATACACTTTATCAAAATTAATTTCCTGAAAGGGCAAATGCCTTGAGAATAAGTTGAGATAGAGTGTTTGATACATGCAACAATTTTAATTAAAACTATAAGTAGTGCTACAGTAAAACATAAAGAACTTCAAGTTCAATTTTATGTAATTTCAAATTTCAATTAAAGCATGATGACACGTGTATACACCTAATGTACAAACCAGAAATACAAAATGTAATGCTACTTGTATGTTTGAAGTATGAGTTGATATAAGTGGTATTTATATAACAGTTCTTGTTGTCTCTTATTTTTAGTATGATGAATTAGTCCCTGCCAGTCTTACAACACAGTTTGGAGGTTTTTACATCAATTCTGGTCAGCTGAAATTCAAGGAAATCTCAGATTCTGAAGATGGTGATTTCCAAAAACCTAAGACACCAAAGGTAAGAAACAATTATATAAAGGAGAGGGTTTCATTCATGATTGTGTATTGTAAGGTCTGTCTGTATTCTCCCAATTCAGTTATAGGCTAGCTACCAGACCCTGGGTCTAAGGTAATGTTTAACAAAAGAAAAACTCCCATACTAAGCCATACATTTGTACTAAAAACATTATACTACATGTACTGAAGGGAGATTTTTAATTCAATGGATGTATTTTGTCTTTGTCCTGATTTATTGAACTTTGCAGAATGCTCCATTTGTAAAAAAAATTGTAATTGATTTATTTTAATCCATCAATAATGATTGTTTTACCACAGAAAAGAAGAGGTTTAAGATGGAGAATGGAGACGGAAAGAGAGAGAAGAAAATGAAGAGGAAGCTATCAAGTGAAAGTGGGAGTGGAGATCACATCTCAAAGAAAACCAAGAAACAACTAAAGAAAAAGTTCAGGTAATTTCAAGTTCTTTCATTTGTTACTAGCAAATGCTGTACCATACATGTATGTTTAATTTAATTATAATGAATTTTTTACCATTAAAATCATCATATCAAAGTATTTTCTTCATTATTTTGGTTCCTTGAGGCTTTTGTAGCATAATTTAAATTTTCAGTTTCAATTAGATGTAAAGGGATTGACTAATGAAGACTATTAAAGGTAGAAGAGGCAAAAATAACACAACTTGTAAGTATAAGAATACAAACAATAAGATATGTAAAGAAAAGGCCCTAACATTTTACCCATGTGTATGACAGTGACGTAACATTTGTGATGGATTTTTCTGAATTTAGGGAAGATAAGAAAAAGAAGAAGAAGGGACCGAGGGTGATTCGCACCCAAACCGTAGCTGAGCTACTCAAGCGTAGCACCGGTTCACCGCAAAGTCATCCAGCTACCTCAACCTTCAATGGAACACCTTCCACTTCAAATGCTGCAACATCCAAAGCCTCTTCCTCAAACTCCACCCCTCAGGGGATGGTATCATCGTCGGGCGGGGCCCAGGCGGGCGGGGTGGACATGTCATTGGATCTTGGTATCTCAGTAAATGATCTTGATAAAGAAACGATGGACATGGTTGACTTTGTGAATGGGACTGAGGGTATGATGAGCGGGGTTGGTTCTACCGGGGGCGTGGCTGCAGGGAGTGGTGGTGATCAGGATAGCGATGTCAATGTATCACCTTCAGCTCCAGGTACAGGGGGTGAGGAGATGGGGTCAAAAGAGATGGTCAACTTACCACTAGAACTGCCGCTACAACTTGTAGACAACATTCAGAAGATAAAAGAGGTAATTTCTTATTTCTTGATAAAATTCAATTAGATTTCTATGTCTGTTTCAGACATTAAACTCTAGTGGTAAGAAGTAATTCCTATTCATTATACTTTAAAGCCCCACTGCACTACTTATATATGTAGCTACCAATGCCTTATCGGTGCCTGTTGGTCCCCCAAGATCTTCTTTTCTTATGTTAATTAAGAGCTGATGTGATGAGATAACCACCTGTCAGTGACCTTGCAGGTCTAATCCCTCCTGGCCAAACTAGTACAGATGGGCTTTAAAAATGTTTAGTATTACTTTTTAACAGAATGTTGAATAACATATGGGTACTTTATTTATTGATGGCTCTTCCTGTTCACTGCAAGACATCTCATTATCATATAATGACATAAGAACCAAACATGCTCTATTTCCTTAATCAAGTGACCATGACTTATTGGTCAGTTCCACTTATATAAATGCCAATAGTCAGAATGTGGAGTAGCAAATATCAGTAATATCTTGTATTTCAAAATCTTGTTCTTTCTTCCTTGCCTTCTCTACAGGCTGCCAGAAAGTCAGTAGAGGGAAAGACTAAATTCTTCAATTCCTATGTCAATGGTCTGTTACTCAAGTAAGTTTGGACCAAAAAAAAAATTAAATCCAATGATGATATTCTGTAGTGTACCAAGATGCATATGTGTTTGAGTTAATCCCCATTAGAAGAGCTGCGGAACTGTTTCAATGAACCATTAATTGTATCATAACTTTGTGACATATTTTACTACAAGGAGTGTGAGGGAAAATTTAGACATGTTATGAAAACTGACTATATATACATAAAGCTGAAAATGCATGAGTAATTTAACGAGTTCCCAACCCAACACGACATCCCTTTAGGAATTTAGATGAACAACACAGATGTTATTAATGTTCCCCCACCATCATTCAACTGAAAATCAAAGGGCAGAAGATTTGTGGGGAAATATGTAACATGGAAGCATTATTTTTCAATGTAGATTTAAACTATGTTTATAGGACATATGACTCAAGCTGTTTCAATGTCTTTGATAGCCGTCAAGTATTTTCATTTCTAATATTCTTTGGCAAGATATTAACCTGCACTTACTACTCTCCACCCAGGTGTCAAATGGGTACCCGGTAGGATGCGATCGTCATTGTTGGTCAAACAGTTTTTGAACGTCAAGTAACGCCTGGCTGGAATACTCCCCAGGGAATGGAGATTGTGCACACATTGTGTGCGGGCAAGCACTGGATCTAATGACCGGGGTATTGGTATATCTGTAAAGCGCATAGAGACATTGTAGATGTATGAAGGGTTATATAAAAGCGGAATATTATTATTTTCATTTCTCAGGATTGAACATGGTACTCGTTTGGTGAACTGCAGCAAGAGATCAGCTGTCTATTCACATCTTGCTTGCCATCTACCCTGCACTAAAGTCACTCTTCAGAAGAGAGCTAAGAAACTTCAGCTAGGTATTCAAGACAATCATCTTAAAGAACCTCTTCAAAGACTTCGCGAAGGTTAGTCTCAGTGGTAGTGATACGGTTTTATAGAAAACAGCTCTGCTGTACATCAATTTGTCACCATGTCAAGCTCCTAGATTGAATTTGTAACACTTGTTCAGTGATGGAAATTCTGCTGCTAAATGCAATATGATCTTGTTATGTCAGTGTTATTTAGTAACAAGTTTTATGTTTGACACTATTTCATCATGACGATCATTGTCTAAGAGTAACTTGATATGACTATTTTTAAGAACGAAACAATCAGCACTTTGCAAATGTTATTATCCTCGCACATGCAATAATGGCTTCTCCCTCTCACTCTCACTCTCTCTCTTTCTCTCTCTCTCCCTCTGTAACTTGTTGTTTGGAATATGTTAATCATGGCATCGTTTCAAGAAGCTGTTTTTAGTACAAGTTTACTTGCATCCCTTTGAAATGCATGTTAATTATATATATAATAATTTCAATGTCGATAAACTTGTACAAAAATGTACTTCAAACAGTTTCGTGAAACGTCGACCTGAACTTTAAGAACTGTGGTTCTTCAAGAAACTTGCCCCTTTTCCTCATGCACAATTTTTTTGATATAATGCCTCTAGAATTTAAAAGATCATTTGATGCAATTTCAGCAATAACAATTTTTACCATATTTGAGCTCTGATCACATGTATGATTCTACTATTTCAGGTATTGCTCAAGTGATGCCAGATCAAGAGATGCGATTTAAAACCGAATGTGAAGAAGTCTCTCTCAAGATGTGAGTAAAATAGAAATCCTTTAAGGAAAAGGTTACTTTGACAAATGCTAAATTGCTTTTTCTGAATGTTTTAGAAACTGAAATGTTTGTGCACATGGAATTTATCATTCAGATATATCCAGCATTTGATCAAGAATTTAAGCAGTTATGTCTAGTTCTTGATTTGAAGTTGAATCTGAATATTTGAATTTATTATAAAATCATCTGTCATACAACAGAAATACTTTTTCCATTGGTTGAACAATAAACAGCAGAACTATACATAACAAAGAAGTGTACAAGGACAAATATACATTGTGTGATCACAAAACGGAAGTCTATACAAAATAAGTTTTAAGGAAGTAAGAAAAACCAATGTGTATCACAACATAGTACAGGAAAAGGAAATTAACATCAGCCAGATCTGTTAAAAGTAAAACAGCCATTCAAAGGGTGCATTAGATCGTTCCTGATAGCAAGTGTCTTCTGGATCATGCACCAATCACGCGTTGCACATTTTTTTCTTGATTGTTCAAGCTTCCTTTTGTCATCCTGTGACAGATTACCATACACACACTAAAAAGCAAATACTTTAGATAACAGATTTGTACAATAGATTCAAATGTGTATTGCCTACATGGAACTTTTTCATTTTCCTGATGTATATAGATTTGAAAATGAACGTCTGTTAGGAATAAGGAAAAATTAAATTTGAATGCGAATGCACTTTGAATTTGGAGTAAATAAAATGCCCTTGATGCTGTTTTGAAAATCAAAGATGATATTGATGGTAAATTTTGATATTATAGTGAGTCTCGGTGAGAAAAATGGAATGTTTTCTCAAGTATGAGTTGTTATCGCATGTATGTTGAGTGTGAACCTTTATCTAATCTAGTTCTTTATCTTTTGTTGTAAAAGGGATCTTGGGCCGACACATGATGCAGAAGGAAAGTTAATAGAACTCAAACCACCTAAGAAGAAGTTCCTCTGGGATATCAGGTTGAGGTATGTAATATTCATGTCTTGAATAGAAGGAATAAAACATAGAGAAAGAATAAAAGAAGTCAATTATTCTCTTGCATTATATCTACCTAGTAAGACCAGCACCACCCCCCCCCCCCCCACAATAATATTAGTGCCCTCTCCACCCTTAGATCTATGCCATGCAATTGAATGCTGATATATATATATATATATATATATATAAATGTTTCATGTTATATTTTGATGCAGTGGGAAGTGCCATAAATGAAGATGCTCTGTAGCATTTCAAAAATTGTACTCTTGATCAGCCCCCCCCCCCCCTTTTTTTTTATTTGTTAAATTTCTTACCTTCACTCTTTATTTGCTATAGATCAGACCATGAGACTGCCACATTTACATTTATATTTACCCTAACCTTAACCCTAACCCTAACCCTAAAACCTCCACATTTGAAATACATATGTACATTGTACATTTGACAAAAGTTGAGTGACAGACTCCTTTCTGGTTGTTGTTTGACCAAACTTAAAGGTAATACAAAGTTTTGGTATGGGGTCATGAAGTTGGTTCAAATGAACATATTGGAAGCATATGCGATCCTACAATGTTCAGTGATCGTTGTCGCGGTTGAAGTCGAGTCTAAAATTATGAATTGGTAATTAATAAACTCTTTATGTGGTATAGCTCCCTCTCAAGGTCAGGATATCAATTAAGCTATAAAACAATGTTTCTTGACTAAAATCGACCGATTAGCTATTCCCGTTTGGAAAGTATATATCACAACTAAATATTCTGAGATTTTCATGGTCGCAGCTACCATTGTACGGCATTTGAAATTTATCAACATTTACCGGGAGCACCGGTAAATTTTTATATTCAATTTTTCTCGAAAGCAGAAGTGTTTTAGGGGCTAATTTTTCTAGTGCTGATAATACATCCACAGGGGCATCCAAATATATCAAAATTGTCAAGAATCACTGTCCACCCAATTTTCAATAGTTACCAAAACTTTGTATTACCTTTAAGCCTTTGAAAAGTTCAATGAAGTGCAGATCTCTGCTGTTATGAAGTGCACCGCCTTGGTCATCCTCTTGCCCTAACACACTCCCCTACCCTAACATACTCTCCTCCTAATATCCCATCCATGTTATGTTATATTTTTTGATACAGAGCTCTGCTGTGTGAAGTAGTCAAGGTGAAGGTGAAGACGTTTGAGATCAGTAAAACCTGAACCCAGTCTGCTGAGGAATACCTTAAGGCTAATATCCCATCCATGTTATGTTTCTTGATACAGAGCTCTGCTGTGTGAAGTAGTCAAGGTGAAGGTGAAGACGTTTGAGATCAGTAAAACCCGAACCCAGTCTGCGGAGGAATACCTCAAGGCTTTCCTGGATACAGACGTCAAGAACCTATGGCCCAAGGATTGGATACAAACAAGGTCAGACGCAGTCAAATTAAAGATAAACTTGAGTTCTGGTAAAAAAAAAAAAATGAATTCTCACATAATCAAACGAAACTTACACTGAATCAAGATTACAAATAAATGTCATTTGCCAAACAATTTTGGTAGAAAATGTATACTGGCTGAGTAATGAGCATAGAAAGATAAGGAAATCAAGGTAGGTAACCCTGAAACCATTTGTGTAGTCCCATATACATCTTTCTGTGTACAGTGCTTGTTACTTTACCAAGACTGGGCCAAATTTATTATGATTTTGATGACTCCGGAACCTTGCAGTACACACCAATACTGACATGCTACATGATCAACTTTTTCTGATCCATTCCACACCTTTTCTTCACAATGCAATCGCATGACCAGAACTCACATTTATCTTTAAGTAAATTAATTCAATCATATCTATGTACTTGATACTCGACTAAAGGATGACTTTGTTTTTATTGCTTTATTACATGTCAGTGATATGCAATCTAATCAGCTTCCTCTTATAAAAGCACAAAGATGCTGTAGTCAATTCTAATGATAATCTTCTTTTCTTTGCAGAAATCTTTACAAGGAGAGCAGAGGAGTCCATGACCATGTGACATACTCTGTAGGCAAGCAGCGCAAGGCTACACCTGGACCTCCCAGGAAACTGCTCCTAACGACTGTCAAGAAAACCATTGGTGGTGACGACATTGAAGGGTCAAGTATCGCCCCCCATGGTTCATCAGAGACTCAAGAGTTTGAACCATCTAGCTCACAGATCAACGAGATGATGGGTAGTCCAGTCACAACCAAGCATGGAGATGATGTCCTCCAGTGTGTGTCTTTGGTTGATTATACCGGTAGTGGAGAGGACTCTATGGATGCAGTCATCTCAAGCTCTCAGCTGAAAGGCACAGAGTATGCAACGGCTTCATCAGATAGCAATCAAGAAGCACCGGTTGCTCCAGGGCAGAGTGTTCCTGTTTCTAGTACATCACCCTTGCCTAATCTGGATCCTAGCTTCCTGGTAGACCAGATGCTAAACCAACAATTAGTGACAAACTCTCAAGATGTAAGACCAGGAGTAGGTGGTTCAGTATCAAATGTAAGAACTGTAGATATGAATGTCAGAGTTCAAGGAACTAAGAAAGCTTCAATGATGCCAGAGACTGCTAAACTAGCCGCAATGTCTACAGGGGAAATGCTTCCAAAACAGGCAGGTGTAGACTCGTTGTCCAGTCAGCAATCTTACTCTGCCAAGTTATCTGCCATCAGTAATATACACAACATGAAAACAATGCATAAACAAGAGCCTGGTGTGCAGGCTAAGGATGTGACATCATCTAGTATGATGGGTAAAGGGAGACATACTGTGAGCAGTGTATCCAAGTCTGGTCAGCCAGTGATTAGACTTATGAGAGACTCTAAGATTGAGATGATGTCAACTCAGTCCAACATCCGAATCCAAGTTCAAGGAACACAGCAGCAGAAAGGACAAGCATCGGTACCTAAAACACAGACTGTCCTTGGAGGGGTACATACGATGCCTTACACACAACCAACAAGCAATACTTCATTACAGGGTAGATCATCAAGTGTGAAGACTCAAAGATTAGGTGGGGGCATGGATCCACTACCTCAGATGTCCTCTCAGGTTGCCCCCGGCAACGGTAACATCCGTCTATCTCCATCATCACAATCTACCTCTCGTCGGTCAAGCTACGTCTCGCCAACCAACCCCCAGCAACGAGCTGGTACTGCCCACAGCCCAGGATCAGCATTCTCCACTCCCTCTCAACACAGCCATCATATGAAAGCCCAAGCATCGCCATCAATACCCCAGCAGACATCACCATCAGGGTTAGGAGCCTACTCCTCAACAACCCCACGCCAGTACACATCACCACACAAGCAATACAGCCCTGGTCATACCTCACCTATCGCTGCTGCATACTCTACCACCTCTCCCTCTTCCTATCAATCCATAGCAGGTGCTGGTGGGTACCAACAAATGCCTCTGGGTGAGATGACAGCCAGACAGCAGCAGCAGAGCTCAGGTGGAGCTAGCTATACTAACACCTACCCCATGGCACCAAGCTCTACCCAGGGTGGGGTACCTCTGAGCCCTGTAGGGGATGCTGTTATCACAGGTCCTGATCCACGGACGTACTACCATCAGTCCCCCACAGGTAAGCATCATAGCACACTCTAATAATACCAATAGACTAACTCGTAAATATCAATAATATGTTCTACATAAAATGACTTGATTTATTGAGTGCTCCGTAGCTTCTATGAAGCCAATATTGGTTTACATTTTTTCTAAATCCAGGCATGTACGATAACTAGACTTGTACATTGTAACAGACTTCCATAAGGGATACTTTGTAAAGAAAAAGAGGAGGGTGATAGACATTCCAACATACAACCTCGCTAATTATTTATATAAATAGATCAGAAGAGAAATAGCAGTCAACTCTGCTCATCTTGGTTTATCCTGAAGTATGTAATAAGATGAAAGAGGATAAACCTAAGGATTGGGTCACTTAAATAAGCAAGACCAATGCTAAGCTTGTAGTAACACTGCAGCACATTGTAATTTTCTCTTCTCTCTAATGCCTTTGCCTCTTCCCCTTATCCCTGCCCCCCTCTCTTATCAGGAGGTGGGTTATTACCCCCTCATCATCCCACTCTACCCCCCTCCTCTCATCCTATTCCCCCTGAAGCGCTAGATTTGCTGTGTGCCCACCAGGCATTTGCAGGTAACTTAGCATGTATGTCCAGATGGTCCTCTTGTATATCTCCTTAGCCACTTAGCATGTATGTCCGGATGGTCCTCTCGTATATCTCCTTAGCCTTGCATGACTGTAGACTTTGCATGGGAAGATATCACTATGAATATGACGGACAAAGAAAGCGGACAAAATATACAGTTCCTCAGGTAGATAAAGGAACATCCCTTCACTGCTATTATGTAAAAATGTGTAGAACAGGTGTCACATGCATGTTCACCTTTTTACATAATAGCAGTGAAGGGATGTTCTTTTGTCTACCTGAGGAACTGTATGTTTTGTCCGCTTTCTTTGTCCGTCATGTTCATAGTGTATAGACCCCTCATCTATATACACTACAGGTTGCTCTTAAATTGGACTCTAGATTTACATGTACACAGGCCAATATGTCACTCATTTATACCAATGTAGTTCCTTAGACATCACTCTAGACTTTGCCTGGGAAGATAGAGAACTTATTCATTCACATGTAGTTCATTGGTATCTTTAAGCATGTCTGTAGATTTGCATGGAAAGGTCGCCACTCATTTTTGTTCTCATGTCATATCATGTCATTTCATTTCCATATATATCATTCAAACATTGTTTCAAATGTAATTTATCCATATTGAATATCTCATATGTAGTTTAGTCTTGTTAGAGAATCTTTATGAAATACAGTGCATGGATTGTATGTTCATTTTTTTTACGCCTCTCCATGATATCTGTATTATTTTCAGCAAATTGTTTGTGTTTTTCAAGTGAAAATCTTTCCACCCATATATAATTTGTCCATAATTATCATTTGTCATGAATTTTCTTTGGGTGACTACTTTAAGCTCATTCAGTTATGATGCCAGAGATGAGAGAGACAACTGTAGATACAATGCATGTGTATTGCTTGGGCTGGATTCAAAGGGCAAAACATTGAATGTCAAGAGGACCAAGCACTCCTGCATAGTACCAACACAATGGCTTTCTACCTACATGTATCTGTAGAGTGGATGGTCTTTTTATGAGAATACTGTACCTTTACCTGTCCAGTGGTAAAATCTTTTTTTTAAACCTAAAACTCACTATGAAAATGAAACTTCGTATATCTCCTTAGCCTTGCATGACTGTAGACTTTGCATGGGAAGATATCACTATGAATATGACGGACAAAGAAAGCGGACAAAATATACAGTTCCTCAGGTAGATAAAGGAACATCCCTTCACTGCTATTATGTAAAAATGTGTAGAACAGGTGTCACATGCATGTTCACCTTTTTACATAATAGCAGTGAAGGGATGTTCTTTTGTCTACCTGAGGAACTGTATGTTTTGTCCGCTTTCTTTGTCCGTCATGTTCATAGTGTATAGACCCCTCATCTATATACACTACAGGTTGCTCTTAAATTGGACTCTAGATTTACATGTACACAGGCCAATATGTCACTCATTTATACCAATGTAGTTCCTTAGACATCACTCTAGACTTTGCCTGGGAAGATAGAGAACTTATTCATTCACATGTAGTTCATTGGTATCTTTAAGCATGTCTGTAGATTTGCATGGAAAGGTCGCCACTCATTTTTGTTCTCATGTCATATCATGTCATTTCATTTCCATATATATCATTCAAACATTGTTTCAAATGTAATTTATCCATATTGAATATCTCATATGTAGTTTAGTCTTGTTAGAGAATCTTTATGAAATACAGTGCATGGATTGTATGTTCATTTTTTTACGCCTCTCCATGATATCTGTATTATTTTCAGCAAATTGTTTGTGTTTTTCAAGTGAAAATCTTTCCACCCATATATAATTTGTCCATAATTATCATTTGTCATGAATTTTCTTTGGGTGACTACTTTAAGCTCATTCAGTTATGATGCCAGAGATGAGAGAGACAACTGTAGATACAATGCATGTGTATTGCTTGGGCTGGATTCAAAGGGCAAAACATTGAATGTCAAGAGGACCAAGCACTCCTGCATAGTACCAACACAATGGCTTTCTACCTACATGTATCTGTAGAGTGGATGGTCTTTTTATGAGAATACTGTACCTTTACCTGTCCAGTGGTAAAATCTTTTTTTTTAAACCTAAAACTCACTATGAAAATGAAACTTCTTATTAAACATTTTTCATGTACATTTAATTTACATTCATCATATGTTTATCATTCTGTGGTATTCATCTTTTATGTGCCTTTCTATATTCTATTGATTTTGTTTCTTACATTGTTCCTTTACACAGATCCTAGGTATGTTGGCGACAATTCTTCCAGCCAACATCGAATTCACTGATTCTACCAGTCACCTACCACAAGGTCAAAGGTCAATCACATCACAAGGTCAGTGATATTTGTCTGAAGGACATCTGAAGGTCGTCCACCAACCTGTGACGTTTATCACAAGGTCAATGACATCTGAAGGACATGTGAAGGGCATCTGAAGATCACCAACATATAACTACAAAGCAATGTCACTGACAATACTAGGGGTCTTGTAAACTCTAAACTCTAAAATTTCGAAAGTATGCAACATCTTCCCAAAGATCAGCCATCAAATTGAGGTCCTGCAAAATTGTGAATATTTGCGTCGGTCTGATTATTGAAATATATTTGCCATCTCCTTGAAATCCTCAAAGTCGATGTCAAAGTCAAGTTCATAGACATGCTCACGGTTGATCTTGGATATCTTTCTCTTCTGAGCATCACAAGAGACTTTCTAAGTCAATTACTACTGGTCCTGCAAATATCATCGCTTCAGTCCTTCACCCTGCCTGAGGGAATGATGCGGTCAAAATGGAGAGAACAAGGTCATTATCAATCTTCCAGTAAATCTTCAGATCTCATCTCCCATCTGGATCAACTCTTCATGTCATAAACAAGTCATGTGATAAACAAGTCATGAGATAATACAAGTCATGTGATAATACAAGTCATGTGATAATACAAGTCATGTGATGAACAAGTTGTGTGATATAGAAGTCTGTATTTTCTATGTGTACATTTCAACTGTTTTCCTACAATCAGCATTAGTCCAGAGAATACCTTTCAGCAGTCTTTGAAGGGATTTTAAACTTCCTTATAGTCTTCTGATAGAAGTTACAGCATTGGATAGAAGCTGTAACTTTTGTTACTAGTGTTTTTATGTGTCTCAGTAAGATTCGAACAACAAATAAAGTGATAAATAAAAAATGCACCACATCATTATCTTGTATATCCTTCTATTTCATTGTTATCACAGTCACACTTCTAAACCAACTCCAAACTAATTGAAAACTTACACAATTTGTGGTAATGTTTGGTCTATTGTCAATGTAATGTATGTCAAACTGGTATGACTGAGGTATGACCTTTGTGTAATACGAGGTTTGTTTCACTTCAAATGTGTATGATATTTTTCATGTGTATTGAAAACTAGATGAACCATACAACAGAATTTCCTTTAACAGGTCTTTTGCAAGACATTGTATATGTGGATTCTGTAAGAGATGGGAGGTTGAAGTTCAAGTTCAAGTTCACTTTATTCGATACTAGGGACTTTTAGATTCTGCACAACAACAACGTAGACTGCCCTTTTAAGGCAATGTGACGTCCTTTTAAGGTACTGGCAGTGACGTCACATTGCCTTAAAAGGGTAGTACACATTCTCGTCGTGCAGAATCTAAAAGTCCCTACTTTCATTAAAAACACATGCACTCTCTCCCATACACACATTTTTCTGTCTGATGAATATTAAGAATATACGTTATTGGACTATTGGTTCTGTAGAGAATTGGTCAGTATCTTGGTGTCTTATTAGTATTCAATCTATAGATCAATGTCTTATTCTTTTCTCTCATCCCATCTTCCATAGACATTACTCTGTATTTGTTATTCCTATATTTTATATATTTTTGTATCTTGTCTGTTCTCTTCCTTTTTAGTAAACTCTGACCAACAAGTTTGTTTTGAATGTTGATTGAGACTTTATAAAAAATTCATTTTCAAGAAGTGTAATTTGGTTCTAAAATTTTGATAATTGAACATTCTTTGTATTAACTCATAAAGTTCATATTCTGTTATAAAATAAGTGTGTAACCAAGTGTTATATCTGTGAGCTAGATTTCAGCCTTCAACTACTATTTCCAGTCTGCAATTCATTCATTACCTCGACTGTAGACTCTTAGAATCTCAACTTTTGATTAGAGATTTGAAATAAATAATGTGAAAGTGATAACCTCACTCATGAATCAGGGAATACTCATAATGCTGCATATGACCATGCAGGGAAGGCAGTATGTGGGACCAGTAGTAGTCCGCATCTGCACTTTAATATATGGGAATGTAAGTAGATGAAGCTAGAACAGTGTAGAAGTCTTGTGAGAACTGTCTAATCATATAAGCTGTAATGTTGTCTGTAGAGGTGTGACCTGTGACCTTTGACGTGTGGATATATGACCTTTGTATCTTTGTCACGCATAGAGTTTAATATGTACATTTATACTCGTGCACTAAGCCTTTCTTTGAATACTTAATGTGCATTTATACGAGACGAGAAATAACCTACATTGTAGTTAATACTTTGGTCAGACAGACAAACTGACTAAGACAAGATTAAGACCAGTTCTGAATGTCCGCTTGGCTGTTTGAAAATCTTGTAAGTGTGAAAGATATATAAAGACTAGTATTAATATATTGATGTCCCTTGTATTGAGGATAGTTGTCATTTAACAATCAATTTTCTTCCATATATACAACTTCAGAGCTATAGCTATAGCCTGCCAGTAAAGGAGTTATTTTGTTACAATGGTTGTATTTTCTTATGCACATATTAACATTTTGAGATCTAAAAGAGTGCTGTTCAGAACCCAGAAATATTCCTGATTTATGGCATGTATACCCTCATGTATGGTGTAATATACTTGTGGTGTCAAACATAGCATTATCGTGTTTGTGACTTTGTTGTGTTAGCAGCTTTTGTACATGGTGTTTTTTCCACCTGGGGGGCGTTTCACAAAACTTGTCATCAGTGACAAAATGACAGATTTTGTTATAAGCTACTGAAATCCTTGCTTCTGATTGGTTACCAGCAGACATGTCACTGATTTTTGTAATTTGTCATTGAAAAAAGGCTTTGTGAAACGGGTCCCTGGTCATGTTCAGAGGTTTGTTTCTCTATTGCTTGTCTGTGAGTATGAAATGAACACTTAGAAGTATGATTAATATCAAATTTGTATTACTATATCTTTTACTCCAGATTACATGTTGATTGAAAGAAATACTTGACAAAAATGAAATTATGAAATCATTGCATGATTTTAGTTATTTCCAACACAAGAAGGAATATACAGAAATACATGCATTTTTAAGCACTACTTAAGATATTTTCATAACCAATTATGCACTCTGAGTCTCACCAGTATTTTAGACAATCCTACAATCTACCAGCACAATTGTGATATTGTAATCCTGTAAATCTGAGTTCTGCTATATAGTGTATGCACATCCTAGTGTAAACAATAAGTTAAACCATTGAATTGGGGGGGGGGGGGGGGGTGCAGCCAATGAATTTCCAAAGAATCTTTTTTTTTCTTTCTTCTGGTAGATTCTCATGTCATCAATTTTATGTATATGCATAAGATATCTTTCAATTTCTACTCCATATATCTTTTTTTGAATTTTCTGTATCCTTATAGATATAGATTAAAGGTAAGAAGGAGAATGATTTGTATGAGATTATCTCTTTATGTCATAGAGTAAATTAATTATTCAAGCATGAGGTACAACATATTTTGTCATTACTGTATCTTTGATAAAGTGATAATGAATTTAAATTTTGTTTTCAATTCTACAATATTCTTGTTCTTGGATTGTTAATACATTATAAACCAGAAAGAATGCTGCATTTCAGTATTTAAAAAATGTCTTTATATTGTGTCCCACATACTGTTACAAACTGACAAAATCTTATGGGGAAAGGTTATTTTGATATGCAGCCACATTTTATGGAATAGCTTGCCGGAATACCTTAGAAATATGAAAACATATGAAAAGTTCAGAAGTAATTTGAAAACATATCTATTTACCACATTGTAAGATCTCACAATTATGAACGCAGTGCACCATTTCCTCTCCTTTCTGTGTTCTGTTCTGTAAAGCGCATAGAGACATGCAATCATGCCTATGTTTTATGTGCTATACAAAAAACTTTAATTAGTATTATTATTACAAGACAGTTTTTGTGAACCTCTACATCCTATTTTTGACAATCTTGGTATCTTTAGTAAAAGTGAAAAGTTCAATTTAATAATAATAATAATAGCTAGTTCTTATATAGCGCTTTTCAGGACCGAAGGCCCTCTCAAAGCGCTTTACAGATATAAATATTATTACCCCGGTCATAGGATTCAGGCTTACCCGCACACAATGTATGCACATTCTCCACTCCCTGGGGAGCATTCCAGCCAGGCGTCTTTTTTACAAGCGCACACGTGCTAATCTAACCACATTAGCTTTGGCATCCTACTGGGTACCCATTTAACACCTGGGTGGAGAGTGGCAAATGTAGGTCAATGTCTTGCCAAAGGACATTAGTGCCGCGGTGGGACTTGAACCGCAGAGAGCTTCAGGAAAAGCACTGGAAAAGTTGATGTGTATTGCCTCGTTGACACTTGCCCGCATTTTGGTCCCGCACTACCTCGCTCTGAGGCGTGCCAATTAGTGGCACGCAGGGTCACGTCTAATCTACGAATAGTTCACGTAATGCGTAACCACCAGGACATGCATTCGTAGACTGTGCGCATGGCATGCGAAAACTGCGCGGGAAGTATGCACAGCCAATGCGCAAATTGTGCACAAATTAGTCGTTAACTAGTCGTGAACATGCGTGCCACTAGGCCATCGGACACGCTTCGGCACGCACTGGCACGACTAGGCAGCGCATAGGGTGCGCATAGTTCACGAAGTGTTCCCGAACGTTGCCAAACAAAATTGTCGTGCCAAAATTTTGAACATTTTGAAAATCCTGTCACGCATTTCACGCACGGCCTGCATCCTCCTGCACGCTACCACAAATACTTCCAAAATGCGGGCAAGTGTCACCGGGGCATATGTATATAAAGATCTAGAATCTATTGCAGGAATACATTATTTGAAAATCTCTGTGAAATTTCACCCCAAAATGGCTATTAAATTTAAAGTTGTAAGATTCAAATGCATGAAACCATGTGTAAATCTTTGCATATATTAAGGATGGTCAGAGAAGACTCGGAATGTGATATCATATGTTGCTATAGTAGATTTGCCTCATGAAAAGCAAATGAAACCTGTACAGGAGCATGAATAACACGACTACAAACAATATTCACTTTGATTAATTTTGTGTATTAAGTTCTTTAGCATTCCATACATGCTATAGAGTTTGTTTTATGATATATGAACTAAAAATTTGAAGTAGGTAATAGGTTATGCACATGTTTTGTATTATGTCAGAGTATATCTTAAATGAACTTTGTCCTATTTCTTCCATTCATTGTGCCATTACAATGACTATAAAGCAAAATTTGGTTAAAAAGATAGAGCCAGAGCCATTGATCAATTATCTTTGAATAATTTGCATGTGAATTCTTTTCTTTTGATATTATTGAAGTAGCATTATACCTTGAATTATTGTTTGGAGTTTATCTTGGGAACTGAGATGAGTTTGAGGAATAAGTGGACTGACTAATCAATTGAGATCTTTGTATTTATTTCTGAATGACAAGAAGGCATGATGTAGATGTTTGTGGTCCCTGGTATATAGATTATTCTACTGATTTCTGTTTGTATGTATGAGAATCAGCTCCAGTGTCGAATTGTATATATTTAGGAGCAAGATTCCAGTTGCTATCAAGTACATGTATTTGTAATAGCAAAAGTGTGAAAAGTTTATTAAAGAGGATCACCCTTTGGTGTGATGTTACATTTTGTTGTCAATTTTGAATACAAAAATAAAATGAAAAAGATTTGAGAAAGGTTTGTAGAGATGATAAAACATTGACTGTTGTGTGAATTGTTATTTGAGTGTGCCGGGGATGGTGAATTGGTGACACATGTATTAGTATGAAATGTTTTTCAATAGTTCAATGAAAATGATAACAAATCAGATCAGTATTATCAGAATAAATATCTTGGAAACAGGCAGATAGAGAATGAAAGATATTTATTAAAACAACAGAGAAGAGAGATGTAATAATGACACATGACTAGCAGTTCAGCAGGAATATATATTTACCTCGGGAATGGAGGATGACAAGTGTGCTGAAAATACTGAACATCAATAAGAGAACAAAATCATTACAACAAAATAAAAATAAAATAAAAATAAATATCGGGAGGACAAGTTATAAGCCGTTTTAAAGAATGACATAATGATTACGTTCATATAATGGAATGTCTGTACTGTGTGCCCCTTTAAATATTTTGTATGCAGGCGTAACCTTCAGGTTATCCCTCCTCTACCTTTATGTCTCATCCACACCCCTCCATCTCTTCCTCTCGCTCTCTCTCTCTCTCTCTCTCTCTCTCTCTCTCTCTCTTTCTTTTTCTCTTTTTTTTTTTGGTCTCCCTTTCTCTATCGCCCTCTGTTCTCTCTCTCTCTCCCTCCCTTTCTTTTTTTTGGATATCAACGGCTTGTTTAGGGCTAAATGTCGGGGCTGACTTAATTGACTGCCCGCCATATCAAATATTTTAAAAAAGGATCAAATATAAGAGCGAGTGAGAGAGAGAGAGAGGGGGGGGGGGGGTTTGCGAAAGTGGGTAGTGAGGGATAGAGAGAAGAGAGAAGGATTGAAATTCGAGCGTAGCGGATAGTGTGGACGGACATATTTTGGGGGATCGCGCGATCAGTGGAAAGACCGCGCTGAATAAAAACAAAAAACAGACTGAATCTGGACTAGACCCGATGGCGTTTGCGCCCTAATTCTAAACCTTGTCCCAATTTCCCACTTGTTTGAAAATCTGTATTTTTGACGTTTCCATATTCGGGCATAATTTTGAATTTGTTTTTTCTCCCTTGAACCATGTTAAAGACAGTAGAGCACCTGTTTATTCTTTTTGCGTCATTATATAGACAGTACGTTGTTGATATGTTGTCGTCCCAGAAAAGAAAATCAAGTACTCGTTAATTGAGGTTCATCTTTAAGGGGAGAAAGTAGCAACACAGTCAGCTTTCATTTTTCAATCCTGATTATATCCCTGAAACGTGTAGCTAACAGTGCAAGAAATATTTTTTGGGAGATTGTTTTGTACACCAGATATTTTTGTATCGCGGAATTCGTGATCGGGGACTAATGCAATTTTTGTTATACAGTGCGTCCCAGAAAAAACGAAACCGAGAATCTTCGATGTTTTATCATAACTTAATCGCAATTATAATTAATAAATGACACATATTTGGAAAGCTTAGATCCTCCTCTTTAATTTGATGAAGTCATACGATGTATATTTCACGCATGAGTGATTAAAAGCAAGTTTGAAGAGAAGAAACCAAAAAGTAATTTGGCGGGCGGTATCTGAATTTCAAGGAGGAAATCACATTTTTTAAAAAGTTCAATTTCTGCCCTTTCATATGAGACCTCAATCAGGAAAAATGAGCCAGGAATGACAAAGTTCTGTTTTTTTTTTTAAATGCTTGCATGGAAGTTTTCATAATTTGACCTTTAAAATTTAAATACCGCCCGCCAAATGATTTTTTGGTTTTCTCTCTTCAAATCGCTTGTAATCACTCATGCGTGAAATATGCATCAGATGAGTTGCATCAAATTAAAGAGGAGGGTCTAAGCTTTCCAAATATGTGTCAATTATTGAATATAATTGTGATTAAGTTATAATAAAACATCGATGATTCCCGGTTTCGTTTTTTCTGGGACGCACTGTATATAGTCTGCATGAAAATTCCTCAATATGAAACTTTGAGCTTTTATCTTTTCTTATACGCTCCTGATGAGTCCACATCTCTTCTCCTGATCGATGACCCCTTCATGCATGGAGGCAGGCGCGTACGCAGGATTTTTTCAAGGGGGGAGGGGGGTTTAACATTTTTAAATCGGGCCGAAATTTCGCAACGACTCAGCCAGCCGCTGAATAAGTGGGGGGGGGGGGGGGGGGGGGGGGGGGGGGGGGGGGGGGGGGGGGTAAGAGGACACTTTTTTTTTGGGGGGGGGGGGGTCTCGAAATTTGAAAATTTGACATTTTGTTCCGTTGGGGGGGGGGGTATGGTCGCCTTTTTTAAGTCACCCATGGGAATTTTTTTTTTTTTATTATTATTATTTTTTTTATTAAAAAAAAAAAAAAAAAAAAAAAAAAAAAAGGGGGGGGGGGTTTTTGGTTATTTTAAGGGGGGTTTAGGGGGGTTTATACACATAAAAATACCAAAGGGGGGGGGTTTAACCCCCCCCCCCCCCTGCGTACGCGCCTGCATGGAGGTATACATTCTAGGTGAAATATGGGCGTTCTCATCATGTATTCCATGTGTCCTATATCTGATCAATATGCTTGACTCAACCCATGTCATGCCACAGATCGTGACTGTACACTAAACAAGGGCAGTGTCAATACTACTATATCGACTTGCTTTCAGTTGCTTGCTAGTGTACACGCAAGTGTCGTGATGATTTTCAGTGATTTATTTTCAATTTCATTTTTGAGTTTTAGACATATTCATGTAGACACAAATCATCAAGAAAGCAGAAAAACGAACCGATTTCCCCACAGTTTATGATCAAAATAATATTGAGGACGTACGTATGCAAGGAGTTTATTCGCAGCGCATGTTGTTTCCCCAATTCATAAACAGCAACATAGGCCATTGACAAAAGTATTTAAAAACTAAATCAAAATATAATTAGAGATTGAGGGAGAGTAGAGTAGAGGGA